TTTCTAAATGTTTCGTCGGAAGAGACTCAGATACCAGTGTTGTTGAATTTTCCTGTGTTTGAGTCCTCTTGATCACATTCACGCGACCGCATATCTAGAATCGACAAACTCAATTTATTAGGCCATAAGTTTCAACACTTGGTGCTACAGAATGATTATTTTGAGGATCCCTTTAAAATGCACCGTTTGACAATATTGTCACTTCCTGAATTATTTTCGTTTTGTATGAACACTTCTATCAGTGAGTTGTGTAACCATGTTTTCAAAGTTTATAGTTTTCTTTGATGAAACTCCCTTTATATGACTTTGATTACGATCAGCCATCATAATTTTATTCTATTTTTATATGATACAAGACTTTTAACAATGTGGTGTAATTAGACTGAACTCAAGACTGCAGAGTTGGGCAGTTGATTAGTAATCTCACTCAACAGTTTACTGAAAAGACTTGTTATTTTAGTGGTTTCTTACAAAAAGGGATTTGACCTAACATTGTTTGAAATACACTTTGTATTGTTTTGCTTTTACCTTCCCATTGAGGTTTAAGCTTTTATGAGCAAAGTGAATTTAAGTTCACCTCATTGCACAAGCAAGTGGCTATCAGGACTCAGTGGCTGAGTGGATAACGGGATGGCGTTTGAAACGAGTGGTACTGGGTTCGAGTCCCAGAGTGAACATCAACTCTGAGACGCAGGTTCATCCAGCTGAAGAGTCCTAAATAGGACGAAACGCTCGTCCTGGATTCCACTGCTACCCATTATCTATCTTTACTTATTGTTAGAAATAGTCCTGATAATTCTCGGGTACTTGACAGATGTATTTATGTATCACCATTTGGTGTCCAGTAAATTACGTTGTGCTAGAATGTCTTTTCACTGTATAGTTGTCAATGAGCAGTGCAAAAGCATGTTATGTTTTGAGATAATCTGTTCTTATTAACTTAATAACGTAAATATAATATGCTTATAACACGTGTTTTCGTTTTATCGTTGATTACAAGTCATTCAAAGAAGCTTCATATCCTGTCCAGAACCATACAAGGAAGAACACAGATATTTTGCTTAACTGAATAAATATTGTTTTCGATGGATGTTTCTACCTTCATACCAATTATCTGAATTTTGAGCGACACAATCAATCCATTTTTATTTAACTACACGGAATTGGAGTTAACAGATCCAGAGGTGACCAAAACCATAATATTTAGTCACAGAACCCGATGTCAGAGGCTTGTATTGTCTGAGACGGACGAATCTCATAGTCTAGTCCGCAATACCTCTTTCGACCGAAAGAAAAAGTGTTTGGGTCTCTAGATAATGTTCCTTATATCTGAAGTGAAAAACGGATTATCGATTGTGTGGGTCGTACATCAGTCATCACTTGGTACATCTTGGTCATTACCTCCAGTTCACATATCCAAAAAGTAAAACGTTGTTCTCTCAGCAGACCTACCGACTGCCTTTACGCGCATAATATAAGGATCTCATTCAGAAGATTCTGAAATTCACCTCTATGCTCCACTTTATGTGAGCTTATGAATCACCCGAAATGGATAGACAAGTAAATGCTAACGTGACCAGAAAACAAAAATGTATTTAGAACAAATCCCTAACTACTCGCCGAGCAATAACTGAGTAAAAATACAGCTAAGTTCGAAATCTGACTTCACTGGACATCACAAAGTTTTGTGTTGCATATGAGAATAAAGAATGATTCAAATAAAAACGGGCGCTGGAAAAAGTGACGCGATTCCTTACATCATTATATCAGGTGAAAAGTCGGAAAGGTTGATAGGTGTTGACTCAGCAAAGGACGAAACTTTCTAAACAATAAAGGTTGAAAGTCATATGGCTGTACTCTTCAGAAACTGACTCCTGCTGTGAAAAGAATGGTCTCTCACTGGTTGAGTCACTAAAAATCTTCAAAGTCGGTTTTGTCTTTTTTATCATCACAGAAGGCTGCGCAAATGTTTTGAAACCCTTGAACTGAATTCTGTCGAAATCGAGGATAATTAAGATGATCCAAATAATTGACGCTGTCGAAATGGTTCACATGCTACAGTAGCATTCTCTTTATATCCAAATGTAAATATCCTTGATAACATTTCTGCTTACCAAAGTTATTGGGGAACTTAAACACCCCACTCATTAGATTAGGCTAGGACAGGGATGGAAATCATTGAGTTTTACTACGTCAATGTAAGTTAAAGTGAATTTGGAAGCCATTTTGTGCCAAATAACTCTAGCGAATTCAGATTGTTGGTTATATGACATAAGAAAGCACTATAAAGATGTCATAGGTATTCAGGATTTGGCAGCGCCTAAGTCTGTGACAATAAAAGTTGGGGAAACCCAAACCCAGCCAAACCGGTAGGCAGGAATGGAGGAGTCCGAAGACAATACAGGTCTTATTAATATTTGCAATCATATGTGAGGAGTAATATACTTCATACTTTTATGATCAATATACCCCAAAAAATATCAAACAAACTGAGTAACTCACCACAATGAAGGCTGTATCTTCTGTAACCATTTAATCTTACCTGTAAATCGGCATGCCTCATGTAACAAACTGTTATTTGAGAATAAATTATGATTATTATGACTATTATTACATTCAGAAGATATTCGATATATCCATGAGTTTTTGCCTCAAGCTGGCTGGTCTTTTTCAAGGTCACGTAGCATGGAAGGCCTATGTTGATTTATGGAGTTTGTGGTAAAAAAGAAGACAGGTGTTATTAATACACTTGAAAAGGAATATCTCTACTGCCTCTTCTGGATACTTATTATCAAACTCATTGGCACATCTTTTAATATTATCGGGCTCATCGTAGTTGATGACACGGGTAATTTTCCGAAAAACTTAATTCTTTATCTACTGTAATTGTGACGATCTTTACATCACTACAAAGAACTTTAACTTTTAGCTGCTTTCATCGCCTTTTTATTCATGTCTGTCTGAGCACATCTAATGATCAATTTCGTATGAACGTCTGGTCAAACGAATAATTATATCACCAATCAGACGTCTAGTCATCATTGGTAAAACAATTTGTTAACTGTGAATAATAATTGCATCCTGGTGGCATCGTTCCGGAAATATTGCTATTATGATTATCATTCGTACATCAGTTATGTAAAAGACGGCTTACGTTTTCGTCACATATGCGATTATGAACAATAGGTTCAATGACGTCTACATGATAATCGTAGTGTTTATTTCAAGATCCACACATTTCTATAGAGCATTAAGTTCAATCCGTATTAAGTATTAGTGAACTTTACAACTCATTTTTAAATAGCCGTGCTATACTGTATAGGCGTGAGATGTAAAACAAAATCTATTGAGGCCATTTGTTTTATTCAGGAAAATCGTATTATGGCATGCTAATAAACTAAATCTTTGGTCCATAGGCCACATTTCTCCGTCTTTTGTCAGCTGATCGCTCTGAATGCTCAATTTCTTTTCGTCCTCAATTACCTAAGACGCCATCACATTTTAGGACAGTCGACAAAAAACATGGATACTTTATCATCGCGCGAAAATATGTTCTACATAGAGACAAGTTTCGCACCAGTTACTATCGTCCTGGTAAGGATCGCCACAGACAGAAGTATTGTTTCTCCTTCAGTTAAATCATAAATTACGCATCAAAGCTGAATTTATTTCAGGTAACTTGATATTGCACTTGTGTATTTATTACATCAGAGCATACTTGGTCGACTTTGACTTGATTTGTTCGGTCAAGGCTTGAGATTTTGTTTTTACATGACGATATTTATATTATCATTCTTAATTAATTTTCGAGATTGGCAGATTTGCTCATAAATGCGAACAGACATATTGAATGTTCCCTGTGGAAGAATAAATGCAATGTTATGGGTGTGAGAGGGGATTCCATGTGATGTGTACCATCTTAAGTTTTACTGCTTATAAAGAATGCTCAAAACCTAGCTTTAATGGGTTTTCGGGTGGTTAGATCTTGGAAGCCAATGCTTCCGAGACCTCTGTGCGTAGAACGAAGGATTCCCAAAACACTTTAAATGTGTGCTACTCGAACGCCCGTAGTCTTCGAAATAAAGCGTCTGAGCTAAGTTTGACGGAGGATGAATAAAGTCCTGATATAGTTGTTGTCACAGAAACTTGGCCCACCGTAGATATAGACTGTTCTACCATCACTGAAGGCTACATCTTTATTAGAAGTGATAGAGTCATAAGTCGCAAGGGAGGAGGCATAATGCCATATGTTGAGGATCACTTCCATATACAATCACTCACATCGGAGGCGCAGGTTAGTGGAACACGTGAGATAGTATGTTGTACATTTAAGTCTAGACACGGGTTAGTGACTATAGAAGAGATATACCGTAGTCCTATCTTAAGGCTCATCTGTTCTTGGAGTAAAGCAGAATGTTATCTCATCATTGGAGACTTCGACGTAGTTCACATCAACTGGATAGAGCTTAAAGCTTCTGGTGAGGTTTTCGTTAGGGACATTCTTTTAACCATTATTCAGTGAACACTTGTACAATGTATCACAAATCCGATACATAATGACTTGAAACACGATCCGTTACTCCTAGATCTTATCCTTGCACACCACTGTGAGGATGTCATCGACATTCAACAGCTTCCCCCACTAGTGGATATTGATTACGTACTTTACCTTAAGTTTCGGACACCTGGTATACAATTTGTACCTGCTCCGACCTGTCCTAATATCTGGCGAGTTAATATTCCAGCAATCAGGGACTGTGCTATCTCGACTGACTGGTTGGTTGATGGGGATGGATCGATACACTGCACCGAACCATTTGAAAACCTTCAACCAGTTACATTCAAGAAGAAAACCGTGCTTGATCAATGACAACTTGATGCATTATGTTGATCACAGTTCAGATTTATTAATAATCAAAATAACACCTAAGTGGAGTAAAACACAGAAGAGTTGTCATTTATTTTTTCTGAGTTTGTTTTACCCTGTCATGTAAACAAGCAAACATTCAATAGATAGATGCTACACCTATATCGTGTTTCCGTAAATTCTTCTGTAATCAGATGAATATGATTTCATTTTGTAAAAAATGTCGAATTTTCGCCAAATTTTTTGATATTTGTTACCTCTGAATAAGTAAAAAGATGCTTTTTACACCCTAGAATTTGTTGATTGACATATACTTGCAATGTGATGCTTCGACATACATTGTTTGTACAAACCTTTCACACTAGATGACTCTTAAGTTTAGTGGAACCTACAACGTTGAAGCTGCAGAGCAGGTGGATCGCTCGTCTTACCAAAACTCCATTACATGTAATGTTTGGCTTCTTGATTCTACTGCTGTCGCGTTCAGAGTTGATGTAAGCTCATCATATCATGAATTTTACTTTATAGAGAGGCTGTAGCGGTCAAACGCTGCTCAATTTAACGTTCGACTTTCTGGAGCTTTTGGAAAAGGACTTTTTTGGACTTGTATACACATTTCATCAAACAACAGAGGGTAACTTGATAGTAAGTAGTATCGTTCCAGATATTTTCCCTTTATTGTGAAACCTATTAAGCAATATATGGCATGTTTGTTTGGACCATGTCAGGATAAAACTGGTTTTAGTTTTCAATTCTCTTACTGTATTTCATAAATATAAGACTACATTTGGTCAGTCGACAGATCAATGTATCGCTTTCACAGTTATTAGAAATTAAACTTTTACTACTTACTTATTTTAAAATAATGGCGGTGTTCAAGACTGTAATACTATTGCTCATTTGATAATAACTGTTTGAGAATTGTGTTGATGACCATACACAAAGTATTTTCATTTGACTCGAATGCAAACATTTTCCCCAGCGTTTGATATTTATGTAGTATGCTTTTGTAACAATACATTTTCTTATGGATTTCAATCTTTTCTGATACGCTAAATAGGAACAAATAACTAAAATAGCTTCGACTGACTATGGGTATCACGTTAAAATATTCATTTGACTCTAGTACTCTAAAACCATCGATTACCATCTTAGTAGCTTAAGACACTAAAATGTAATTCTTACCATAGAGTCATCACGATATTTTTTATTATCTTTTGCTATGATAGTTCATTAGGAAAGAATATCAGCTTAACAAACTGATGCATCGATTTGGAAGTCCTATTAATTCCTAGTGGAAGCAACTTTAACTTCTTGGATTTCTCCAATAGAAAGTGGACTACCTTTTGACGTTAAAAAATCAGCTGGTTGTTTCTTGTAGCGGTAAATAAATCCCCCCAAACCAATAGCCTTTTAAGTCTTTGACATGTGATACTGACCACATTAGTTTTAACGGGCTCACCTAGCTGAAGGTGCTTGGTCATGCATCCTCTCAACTTCTGCGATCACTAGCCAGTTTAGACCAGTCGCTTCTCAATATGTTGATAGCCTATCGAAAATATAACTTCCAACCCCTCTCTTCTGACTTTTGATTTCGCTGTGTAGACACAGTTTACTATAGAAGGCGTGACTAGTTAAAATGTTGTCAAACTACAAATACCTGTAGCATCTTCATTCCGAATTCATATTTTTATGGTCATCAAAAGTAGGTTTTTAAAATTCAAACTGTGACCATGATGATATTGTGTAAATATACACTAATAAATCATGGATAGTAAATAACAATGTGATCCTGAAAAAAGTTTGTTGACTAGTTTAAAAACGTCGATACCAAAGTAGATGATCAAATATTAAGGCTGCGTTTAATGTCAAGTACAAAAGCCGGTTTTCAGTTAACCAGAAATCTAGGCTTTTCACTTTATGAAGTTTCTCGGCAAACACTGTGCTGAATAACAAATAATTTTGCTTCAAAAGCTTAAATCTGTTCCAATAAGTAACACGTGATCTTGAAAGAAGTCTCGGAATACCTTTATTTACTAAAAAGCAATGACAGTACTCGTATTTCTATATACTTGGACTTTTTTCTTTAGTGACTATTTTCTTGTAGAGTTTACACCAACAGAAATGTCTTAATATTCCAATTTTTCGCTCATTCTAAAGATGACTGAGTTAGTACTTTTGGCGAATAATACTGAACTAAACTTAGGAACCTGCAAATAGTTTAGATGAATCTCTTCCTATGCAGTACAGTAGTTTTGGTAGATTATAACAATATCACGATTACGTTTGAATCGAAGTCCTTGTTTTGTTCTTAGACACAGACAAACGTTCCGGGCAATTTTCTTAAGCTGATGCTTGTACAAGCCTATCAACCGAAAATTATTTCTTGAAACAAAAAGCCCTTCCTCAACGTATATCTTGGTTACCTAATGGCTCTGTCTTACATTCGAAAAGATCAGTTCATTCATCCATTTTTGTTTAAGTAATGGGAATCTCCAAACCAAAGTCATAAATCGCAGCAGCGACTTATGATCTATTAGATATTCTATTCCTGCTCTTTATTTCTATCTTCTTAGGATTGTTTACTGTAGTTTAGTAACTGGTTTGTAACTACTTCACATATTTTTCACTGATTTTGAATTATGGAAAAACTTTGTTTTTTATTATTGATTGTAAAATCACTATGTTTTCTGCTGTCATACCCTCGATGTGTGGATATTGGTCTCAAAAATTCTGATGTAACTATTTTTTTATTAAAAATTTAAGAAATGGTTGGATCCGACAAGAAAAATCAGGAAGCAGTGTAAAGGTGAGAAAAATATCTTAATCCACATTATTACTTTTCGAATATTTGATGTATAATTAATACTGTTAATTTCGGCGTTAAATGAGAACCAAGATGGTAGCTAATGGATAAAATTTATGCGGTCAAAGGAAAATTAGATTACATTGGCGGAATTCGGTTTTTAGGTCTCTAACAAAGATCACATTTACTGGTGGCTGTAGTTAAAAGAAGTAAAATATCACTTGATTTTCAAGGAATTGATTATACGTTTTCAGCTGCTTGCGCTTAGACAAGCAGATAGTTTTACTAGCTCCTACTTTAAAAACATGGCTGAACTTCGATTTAATATAGATTTACTTCGTAAAATGGAATGTATTGTTTTATAGCATTACGACAATTGTATTTAAAAAAATAATCGCTGTAACCGCTGTAACACAATAAGTGGTTTAACATCTTGTTAATAAAAATATACATGAGTAAAATATTACCATTGGTATATTCTATAAGGCGGCCACTAAGAATTTTTTCTGATACTGATTTTTTTTAGATGAATTGTGGTTTGGTAAGATAGACGAATAGCAGTTGGATATGGTACTTGAAATACAAGCAACAACTGTGGCTAATATTTATTTACAAAAATCATTCTAAAGACAAATAAACTATGAAGACGTTGAAAGTAAACACATTATAGAAGTCCTTGTTTTGGAGAAAAACAAAAAAATTGCAAACGTTTTTAAGCCTCGCAAAATATCCCGCTACAAGTTACTTTTATAAGCAAGCAGAGTCTTACTTAAAAGTATTTTAAGTGGTATGAATAGACTTTTGTTAAATATTTTCTTATTCTATAATGAAAATACGGTTGTACTTATACTGAGAGTCTAGAACGTGAAATAATATGAAGACTCATTATTTAATTCTTTGGTTACATATACCTAAAAATGTCTCCATTACGTTACGCTTATTAATTATCAGAACACAAACTGTTAAAATTTGGTACGTGCACAATTATCTTAGTGCTTTACGTACGTTGCACTTGAAGTTGAATCTTAGTTAAGTGGTTTTATTGGGTTTTTGAAATCGCGGAAGCTATCGTTTGAGATATCAGAAAAAGTACTCAGAAGACTGTCTTTCTTATCCAAATTTAATTGAATGATGAGATTTATTAGGGAAGTAAGTAAATATTGTTTTCAAAGCTAAACAAAAAGTAATTTACAAATTTTCAAAGAATAAGCCGACTGAAAACTTATTCGTTCAGTATTTTATGGATTTTGAGCGATTATCTATTGATAAAGAATGTTATTCATGTTTGCTAATAATCAACAGACACTTCAATTATAGATACGACGTTGTTTATTTATTTAAATACACCATTAGTTTATAAACAATTAATTGTACAGGAACTCTTCGTGACAAAATCTTCGAGAGCAATTTAAACCAAAAATGATCTCGTGCACAGTTTTGTAAGAGAGTAGTATTTACGGCGCAAAGTGCCTAACATGCATCTGATGGTTTTGCCTACTAGTCAACACAGCAAAACCGAATTGCCACTTGAAAAACTTATCTGAACACATTGTAAATCTTAGTTAATACTTGATAAAAAAACGTGCTGAGAACATAATCACCAACCATTTGTTTTTCAAGATTTTTAGACGACACCTAAAAAAGTAACTGTTTTTAATGTACTTTTGTTTGCCTCACAAGTCGTAGTCTTTACTTTTGAGGATTAAGTATCAAGTAATACAACCTTAAATTTTATACTCTGCTATTAGTTAGTCGACCATGAGGTTCCGGTAACAAATGGTAAAATGTTTTTCTAATCATCTAGTTTCTTTACAATTTCAAGAATAATGATACTGGTACTTAGGCTGATCTTATAAATTTAAAAACTATGTGCAGAAAATATGAAATACTTATATTGAATTTAAATAAAGTAAGCTCTCCGTACATGTTAATTAGATATATGTAAATGAGGTCTATGGATCAACAAAATGATTCAATGCTTCATAAATAATATTTAAATCAATATCGTACAGCTTCCTAAGTTCATCATATGTTCAATTGCACATAGTGTTCTTAAAATAGTTAAATATATTCGACTTGATCAGAAGGAAAATTTTTCAAACTAAGTTATTTCAGTTCACTTGTTGGCTCTTAAAGACCCTGTCTAATGTTTTCGCATAAGTGAATAACTATACAAAACATCTATTTTTTTAATATGTCGGATAGTGTGATAACTAAAATATTGAATTCATATCTTATTCTAAAACGTTGCTCTAGTGATCAAACTTTCCAGGTTTACACAAGAAATAAAGTGTTCACAGGTTTAAGGGAATTGTTAATACTAGTTTTGCATTTTTGACTGAATTATTTTGATGCGGCAAAATATTCGACTTAAACAATCTCATTCTTTTTAGAATAAAAAACTGTAAACGGATATAGACTTATTGGTCATATTAGTGTCGGCTGCTTAATCCTATGTATATGTTTGTGTTAAATTTAATCAACTTGTACTACCCGTTTTACAAGTTGGTAGATGAAACGTTTGGAATTTCATATATTTGTGGTTTGAACTAAAAGTTTAGTGTACTTTCATAAGCACATTTCTGAATAAAGCTTTAAATGAGGTGCAAAACTAGGGTATTAAGGTACGAGATCGACACTACGTATTATAGTTACGGTTAACGCATACTTAACTGTAAAAATCTAGCCTTATAAAGTAGGGAAATTGAGGTCACAATTGATTCAAATAATAGTTAGGACAAATTGATGAATAAATACAGCTAACCAGAAAAAAGTAAGACCACGAACTGCGTAACAATGTTTCAGGACAGTTGTTTCTCTATAACAAAAAAAACATTTTTCCCTCTGTAGATACAGTTCAAATGGAAAATACTTTTTGCAGACGTTTTCAATTGAGCGAAGTAAATGTGTCTTTGGTTAGCCACAAATCATTTTAAAAGTTCTGGAAAAATTCGCTTCGTGTGCTCGACACATCAAGCGCTTGGTTTTCGTACATAAGATAACATTTCTTTTTGTATGGTAAAAGATACTTGTACAAACTCTTATGAGTTCTTCCTATATGCCTACTACAATAAGCTTATGTAAATTTGTAAATAAAATTTGAGGTGACCTCAAACAGGTACGGACCTACATTTATACATCAGTTTGGGTTCTAATTTCTGGTACACATGAGTTTTACACCAGCAGATAGTTATATAAAAACTGCATTGTTACATAAAGCACTTTAAATATAGTGTGGTTTTAGCACAACCCACCTAATCGCTTATGAAACACAGAATATCATCTATCTACCTATATTGTGGAGCTAGTTTTTTTATTATCAGTTAGCAATACTACAGAGTATTCATTGGATAATTCTATACAGTGATACGAAAAGTACCAGTGACTCTTCTCCTTAGATTTCATGACCACTTGTGTTACGAAACTATAGCTACCAAATAGATTTGTAGTTATAGATATTGTCCATTGGTGGAGGAAGCTGTAAGATCTGCAATAATACTGATTATCTGAATGTCTGTCACTGTTAACACTTAAATGAGGTTATCACTTTAAAAAGTAAAGCGTTCTTCACTATAACACGGACATAACATTAGTCGAGCTTAGCTTCGTCAAGGGCTCGTCTTCTTTTTTAGAGTTCACGAGATAACCGTAATCTACGATTGAAAGCCGTGAATGACGTGAAACCAAGTTGGTCACGGTAGTACAGCTGTGTTTACTATTTGTCTTCCTCCAAACCATAAAATTAGCATTGCCATATATTTCACGTGTTATTTACGGATCGTATTTTCTGTTGTTAACTGTCTGTCAAAAACGATATTATTATTCCTCCTTCTGTGCTTACCATTCGGTTACGGTTCTTCACCTTGGTGATTTAAGATACAACAGTTTGAACAGTGTACCTGAATACATTTATTAAGAATATATTCAAAACTATGAACATAAATGACGAAGTAATATTTTCATGTTGGACTTGATAAGCTAAAAAGAATTAACATTGACACTAAAATTAATTTCAGTATGATCACTTTTATGTAAAGATATATTGATTGAAAATATACTACACGTTACCACTTCTTTTCCGGGACTCTTACAATTTTTTCCATTTTTTTTTACCAATTTTTTATGTTCTTCTCACTTATTCTTTTCGTGTTATTGAACTAGTTTTGTCCTTAAAGTTAAACGTTACTTCAATAGACAGGTACTCCATCCATTAAACTATTCCAATTAATATAAGCCACAGTAACCATCTCTCAATAGATGATACAATATACACTGATACGTATTGAATTAATGGAAGTTATTAATAGATTGAATTTATTATAATCCACAGAAAACTATGACTGTTTGATTTAACCTAATTTATCTAATTCATATATATGCCAACTAAAATAAAGAGAAAGTAATAATTGCATTCTGTATTAAGTATTTGGCTTTTAATCTTGGTAGCTCTGAACTCATCGCTTATCTCTTTCTTCAAAACTATGTTACTTATAGATGTATTTTGAATCCAGGTAAAGTAATTTTTTGTTTATCTTTAAGCTAACAATGACTGGAGTAGAAAGAAAACTTGTAAAGTTTCAAAACTAAGACCAGGTGTTTCTGAATATGTTGCAATTAAAATGTCCTTAACGCCTTTATTCATTATGTTTGTTAAAAATCTTATATAATACTCAATCAAATAGGCCTATCTCAAGTAGCATAATTCAGTTCTTCTATACCAAAAACGTTAATTTTCACTTTTTAATTTTCAGGAGAAGCAAACTTTACATTTTGGTTTCGTGTAAAATTCTACGTTCCTGACCCAGTATGGCTTCAAGAAGAATACACAAGGTAAATAATGCCAAATTATTGTGTAGAATGTCACCTAAATGCTGAGATTTACTAAAAGTTCTTATTTAACTTCATCAGCTTTATTATTTTTCTCACCAACGAATTATTATTAAATTTGTGATGAACCCAGATAGATTTTCGTTAAAGAAAATTTACTATTTCATTATAATAATCGTATCGACTTAAAAGTTAACTATAGTCTCTCCATCAATACTATACCAAGATGGAAGATCTAGCCGAAAAACTTGATAAAATGAATGATATGATGTGAAGTAAAATGGTATGGGTCATCGCCAATTGACTGAAATAGGAAAAATTTATATGTTATATTTGGGACCTATTATTAAATAATATTGTAGTTGCTTCATGTCTTAATAATCCCCTTCTTAAGTAGCGGGTAAACAACACCGTAAAGTTTCATTCTAAAATGACAGAATTTTTCGGGGCCCATTAATTTTGATTGTCTTTCTCCAGTTCTCAGTAAATCATAAAAATCTTGAAAAATTATCAGTAATTCAATTTCTGTGTCAACCAACCCATTACATTATGCACCTCTATAGAATTCTGAAGACTTGTGATATTACACTAATCTGTACTTCCTAACTCTTAGGTGTTTGACTATCAGTATAACCATAAATTGCTGTTACATTTGATGTATATACAATTGTGCAAAGAAACAATCACTTAATATGTAGAGCGCTTGGCTTTCAATTATTAGGTTACAAGCTCAGACTAAATTCTACTTACCTCAGTTTTCCCAGCCGAGCTATATCAGTAATCACTGCTCAGAAGTCTAAGTATTTGAACATGTAATCAGATTATGGAGTAAAAGTAAAAAGTTAATAAGAGATTGAACCACTGAGAACTTGACGTTTTACAGCTAGATAACCAGTGAACATATCTATCGTAATCTTTGTAATATGGATTTTGTAAAGTGCTATTATCTATTTTCTTTAATCAACTAATAAATTCTTTCCATACTAGCTATACTACATATAACACCTCATCTTGAGGTAATCCTCAATCAGGCCGGCTCTAAAAATGATCATGATATCATCAATCGACTTGACTTTTATCATGTAAAAATTAATCATAATTACTTACCAACTATTTTCAGTGTTTATGACCAATGTTTCAAGCCCATAATTGGTTAATTGCTCATAAGCTTTCATTTTTGACTTCATCAAAAATCTGTGCTACGTAAAAAATTTCATTTCACTGTAAACAGTAGTCAAACGCCTTGTTATTAAATTCCGAATGGAATTTCTTCATGTGTATAAAAGTATATTATTGTGAATTATATATCTAGCGTCTATTATGTGGTGAAGTCACGGGAAAATTTATTGGACTGGTGAGTTCTTTGTATTAAGACGGTTGGCTTTTACCGGTTGAACTTCCTCACCGATTCTAGGCAACTAAACTGACCTCCATTTTCATTGAAATCTTTTAACTAATCATCTACACTGGATGCTCTACCATTTGAGTACAATTGCAAATGATAATTATAACTGCTATTAAACATAAAATTCTATTGATGTAAGCAAACAATCGTTAAACATTTTTATACTTATCCTATTAAATGTATACTTAGGAATTTTGTTTTGTAAGGCGAACATTATCTGTATTGTTTGAAGATTGTTTCTGACCAATTTATTAAAAAATACTTACTTCTATCTTGATTCCTTACCTTGTCAGTCAGTCAGTCAGTAACAACGTAGAACTTCGTACGTACGTACATCATTTCGAGTTGCCACACCACATTAGCACAGAGATGCAGTTGTTGATTCAAATCCCGTAGTGGTAGAGGTAATAAGAGTATAAGCAGTAATCGGGAAGATTAGGGTTTGGAGATGTTATTCAAGGAGTATAATACAGTGAAATAAATTTGGAAAGAGGAAAAAAGAAAGGGATATGAAGAATTCAGAAGATTAGAATTTAGGAGAACACAGAGAGTGGATGCACCTGCGCCATTGCAAACGATTTTCAGCCATGTCATTCAGGGTCTCTAACCATCGGTTGCTATCATCTCGCGGTCCCCAACCAGGTAGTCTGCACCTACCAACATGACTCAGTCCACTTGTCAGTGACTTCATGGACTTGTGCCATGTTTTGGTTTGGCCGCCCCTAGCTTTCTTCCAACCTACTCCTATACCACTGAACATAGCACGTCGAGGCAGTCGGTCGTTGGACATACGTAACACGTGTCCCAGCCACCTCAACTGATGAAGTTTCACTACTTCATCAATTGATTTGCTATCCTTACCTAGTACCCGTTTCCTAACAACTGTGTTACTTACTCGATGGTCCCAGGATATACGAGCAATGTTTCGAAGACACCTATGATCGAATACTAGTAGCCTACGAATATCCTCTACTCTTACCGGCCATGTTTCACTGCCATAAAGAAGGACGGAACGAACTGCTGCGCAGTAAACCCGTCCTTTGGTTGATAGACGGATATCTCGCCTACGCCATAAATGACGCAAGTTGGCAAAAGCTAGTCGAGCCTTCTGTATCCGTGCTGAGATTTCGTCACAAACCAGACCACAAGGGCTGATGAGACTTCCAGGATAAGTGAAGCGGTCGACACACTCAACTACTTCACTCCCTATCACTAGTTCGGGTGTCGATGTAACCCAATCCTGAAGCAACATTTTGCATTTCGAGGGAGAGAATCGCATGCCGAACATGCTTGCATTGTTGCTTAGAGTGGTCAGAAGACTCTGCATTTTGTTAGTGTCTTCATCAAACAGAACTATGTCATCTGCATATTCTAAGTCAACAAGTGAACCTCCCGGTAGAAGTTCAACCCCTGGAAATTTAGATGAGGAGAGTGTTATCTCTAAAAGTACGTCGACCACAAAGTTGAACAAGAATGGGGAGAGTGGACAGCCCTGACGAACACCACTTGAGGTAATCAATTCTGATGACAGTTCGCCATAAACTCTCACTCTACCAGTTGTGTTCGAGTAGAGAGCCTTTATAGGGTTAATGTACTTCTTTGGTACTCCTTTCAGTGACAAGCACTGCCATAGAACCTCACGATCAACAGAGTCGAATGCCGCCTTAAGGTCGAGAAATACTACGATTGTGGGGCATCTGAACGTGTGTCTGTGTTCTAGAACCTGACGTAGTGTGAATATCTGGTCTATCCAACCACGTCCAGGTCGAAAACCAGCCTGATTTTCTCTAGTTTGTTCTTCACGAGCTTTGGTTAGGCGTCGAAGTATTATTGAAGCTAATATTTTAGACACTATATTAGTCAAACCTTGTAATGGGTCTACTGCCAAAAAAGTTAAAAAAAGTAATATGGACCATTATTGTAATGTGATCAATCTGATATATCTGAATATTATCATCATACATTAACACTTTTCCTTGAATAGAGCGAAGGTATATTCTTACTTGGTATATGGTTATCATTGTGATTATGCTTTCTTACACATTGTTCTATAAACTGGTACAACTTCAGCTACTTTGTATTTGTTATTTAATCTATGTATTAATGTAATGTTTTATACACTTTACTATTGGCAATGTTACTACGCGATAATTTAAAACTAAAAGCTTACAGGTGATTTTAATAATAGAATTCGTGTACTGGATTGTTGAAAGGAAATTAATAACATTGTGTATCTAGTTTTTTTTATTAAATAGACGTGTATTTTGTAATTATCTATTTTTTTGTGTGTGGAAGATTTATTATTTTCATTATCTTTATAGATAACACTTTTTTCTATGGATTAATGCATTACAGTAAAAATATCCTCATCATACAGAATAATTTCAAATGTTTAAGGTACATTAGGAAACGCTTTAAACAAACAGCTGATTAAAACAATCAATATGCCACTTTTTCCTTTTAAACAAAATCTTTTTGTAATAAAATCTGTTCAAATTTTCATTTACTTATAAACTACTACTTATAAATGGACTATATTCACATGCTTACATATAATTTCTATTTATACGTTTAAAGATGCATATGTAATTCATTGAATTCATTGTATTTAATTACAAAGTTAAAACAAATTTTCGGTTAGAAAGTTGTAACATGTTTGCGAATAAATTACTATCTGTGTAGTTGTCCCATATTTCTGTAATAGTTAAATGGTTGTTAAGATCATCCATGAATGTGTATGAAGACTAAATTAAATTAATAATTCATGTATACACTTACATTTTGATCGATTGGTTTTACTAAAACTTATTGAATTGTTTTATTTGGTACCAAGTATGTATGTCCAGTTGAAAAAAGTTCAGGATAAGTTGAAAATTGATCTAGATGTGATCATATAAAATAAACTATATCATCAGTAGATCAGAATACTGTTTTGAAAAAACACTATATTTAAAGATGAGGTTTAAATTTGATGATTCTGTAGAAAATTTTCAGTAAACACTTTTAGTAAATAACATTAGTCAAAGAATCAAGACGCATTGAACACATGTTCCATTCTAGTTTGAAAATATTTAATAATGAGAATCTATACACCGACATGGACTCGAACTCCAAACGTTTAGCTTCCATTAGACCTAAAAGTAAGTTCGCACACTTCATAGTTCTGATAATTAAAAGAACCATCTTCAAAACTTTTTGTTTATTTTATTTATACTATACAACTGAGTTAAGCATACAAGCTCATCATATCTTTCTCTCATTGGTAACCCCAAAAATACGGAATTACAAGTCTTAATTACTACTGATCGTAACATTTAACAGCATATTTAGGTCGCATAAAATTATTTAAACATATTTTTAAACGAGTACCATTAGTATTACCAAATTCATAGATCTTGAAAATAAAACACAATTTCTTTAATTTGGTTTTACCATATTGGAGAATATTTGAATAAGGTTGAACTTTCAGAACTACCCTACAGGAGATTATTGTTTTTATTTTTTAAATAATGATTAAACGCTTGAATCGCTGTATATTTATATTTCCTCATTTACAAGCTTTGCTTGACCCGTAAACCATTGTTATGTGTCCTATCCG